TCTTTAATTTTCTGTCTTGGGGAAGCTAAAATGCTTCACACCTCTGATTTAAAAGAGGGTGGTGCGTCCTCAATTTGAAAATCTTGCTCTAACATGCTGCTGACGCTCACGATATTTATTGCGATTCATTTTTCAGAGTACCGATGTGAATCTTGAACCTTTGAATCAATTTATCAAGATTTCACAATTAATCTCTCTATCCCTAACTGTAAATATTACAGGAACAGAGGACGCTTGAAAAAGAGATGAAGAAGAAATACAAACTGAACCCTGAAGATGTGAAAAACATTCAGGAGATGATTGCTGTAGAAAAGGCAAGTTCGGAAAAAGAATAACACATTCTGTACGGACATTACTAAATGGAAATGTTGTTAATACTGTAAAAGCAATAAAGAAAGTTAAAAAAAAGAAAGAAAAGGCAAGTTCACACCATCTGTGCATAAATAGGTCTGTGTCCTCAACAGCAATGTCACTAATGTCACTATTTTGTAACATCTCCTCAGTATAAAGGCGGACAAGAAGAGTCCTTTTTTTTTAATCGTTAAAAAAAAGTTTTTCATCTGCCTAGAACTCCATTTGAAATTGAACCTGCTGTTTATTTTGTCATGCTTTTGCTTGTACACAGTTTTATTGTGTTCATATTTTAGCTTTATCTCTGTTTTGTGGATGGTCCTACATATTTTTTCTATGCAGTGTAAATTCAATTGACAACAACATACGTGTCAATAAAACTGGTCCTGATTCGCTTTGTGTCGTCATCCCTGCAGTGGCCGTACGAAAGGGCGCCCAAAAGAAAATCCTCCCTCTATGAAATTGTTGTCCAACAAAAAAAACGGCGTTGATGTGGACAAGTTTGACTACTTGGCCAGGTCAAGGTTTTAATGAGTGCTGTAGAGCAATTCATTTTGTGATGAAGACCACTACAGCACTTCTTTTTTTTTTTACCTTGAACAATGCATTATTCTCCTGATTATTTTAAATTATAGGCTAACAAAACTCTCCAGTAAATTCAGTTTCACTTTATACACCTATTTTTTCACCTTGCTCAATCTGCCTCTACTCAGGGACTCTTCCTACCTGGGGATCAAGAAAACAACTTTGACTTTCGTCGCTTCCTGCAGTTTGCCAGAGTGTGTGAGGTTGATGGCAGGAAAACTATCTGCACCAGAGACAAGGTGCTGACACACTTGAGCTTGTAAACAGATAATTGAAAGCAAACTGATAATGTTGTTATTTATGATAAACTGCAGTCCTAACCTCAACAGGAGGAAGACCATATGTACGACTTGTTCTATACAAGACACTCTCCACAAAAGAGCCTGTCAGCAATAGAGTAAGCCACATCATACAAGAAATGTAAGTGTCTACCTTCAGAAGTTATTACTCCAAATATAAGATTGGTCTCCTTCTGATTTCCATTATTCAATCTGCATCATGATTCACTATCTCATCAGTAATAATATATTTGATATGAACATACAGGATTGCAGAGGCTTTTTTGAAAGCAGACGGTCACATTCAGATTGAAGGATCAGGAGGGAGGATGTTCACTCTCTCTACAGCCAATGAGGACATGGAGGCCTACACAAAGCTCACAGGTGTGTAGATTTAAATGTGTGCTGTTAGCTCATGTTCAACATTGAAGCCAATTCAGACTACAGGAGTATCAGACATGGCTCTGTTTGCTAGGTCATTTACAGTTATGCTACTTTATCCATTTTTTTTATCGTGCATTTGTTAAAGATAAATAAACCACATCCTGTTAATTTAGTTGTGATGACTTATAAATTAACATGCCATGTCTTACAATTTATTGAGTGTGTTTAAATTAAATTCACTAATTTTTGTGTGTGTTATTATCATTTGTTTGCTTTTTACTTCTGTTACTCTTTTAGACAAGTGTTTGAGGAAATACTGAAGTCTTCCTGCTCAGAGCTAAAAAAGGCAAGAGAGATTCTGCAAACATCATCTCTCGAAAGACTACAAGTTTGTTGATGAGAGAAAGCCAAAGGACCCCATCGAGGATTGGAAAGTAAGTCTGTGTTCTTTGTGTTTCATTACATTTATAACAATGATCTAATGCACTGTTATCACAAAGCTGGATAATGTGCTCATTTTCAGTTCATAGAATAAGTACACATCACATTATTTACTGTCTCCAGCATTTTATCTTGCCCGTGTTGTTATTACATTTAACATGAACAGCAACACTATTGAACAGTTCTCTTTTTGAAATGGATAGCAGCTTGAAATGTCTTACAATACAAGATCCCTCTGTCAACTAATGCTGCATGATATTGGGGAAACTGCAATAACCTTTGAGGTTCATACAATTATAATTTGTATTATCATTTGGGCCTTCAATTCTATTTTCTTTTTTCAAATAAAAACCCCTTATATGTTCAAAGTGACTTTTAATTTGCATCAAGAGCCCTGTGACAGTAAAGAACAGTTCATCGTCACACACTGCATGTGATCCCTTCAACTCTACATCTTATGTGCACATAGACTCTGCCTGCACAGAAGTCACTTCTCTTTGTGATCAGGAAGAGGATCAGACAGACTGATATTGTAGATCAGTCATGGAAAGAGAGAAACTGAAGGCTTTTTTGTTTTTTCAAAAGCAGAAACAACAAAAAATGGCATGAAATGATACATTTCAGGACATATGATTGATATTATATATTCTGTAATGTTATCATAGCACTTGTACACATACGCAAAAATGATGCTTAAATCATACCATGGCAGCCCTACAGTCAAAAATATCTACACTAAGTCGGTGCAGTTTTTTGAGTGAATGTGAATTGAATTCCAAGTTTCTTACATTGTCAACTTTAAATGCAAAAAAACTTGAATCTATATCTTTTTCCACTGTTGTAATTTTTTCTGATTCCTTGTCAAGAGCCGGATTACTGGCTGGAAAAAATTATTGGCTCAACCCCTCCCTGACGAGGAAGAAAACAACCTGAAACCAGAGGACTTTGAAATCCTGGTCAGTTTTTTGACTTTCTTTCATTTCACCTTTTTGTAAATTCTTCAGTTTTGAGGATTTTTTGATTTGTAAGATGTTGCAAAATCTGTTATTACACACATACTTTTACTCTCAACCTTCATTTTAGGTCATTGAAATGGACTATGGCATGGACGACAAGGACCCTATCCAACATGTTCATTTCTACAGCAAATCTGAGCTTGACGTGGCAAAGCCAATGCCCGAAGAAAAGGTAAGAACTAAATATTGATTAAAACATTTTTTTATCGCAATATTTCTTCTCTTTATCTTTAAATTATTTGTAAGGCAGCTTATGTCACCAAAACTCTCAAAGTAAAGCTGCTGTCCTTCTTTACAGGGATCCAGGATTCGCACAACGTGCTTTTCTGAGCAGCTGATCAGGGTCTTCTGTAAGGAGATTGATGACGAGAGTGTGGAGGCTGCCAAAAAGCACTTTAAACAGTGGTACAATGATTTTCTAATCCTTTGATAATAGTTGAATCTTAAGATGTTAAAGGATACAATACATATCAACTAATTTGCTGTTGATTGAACATAAAAACATCAAATATAAATTCAGACCAGTTGACTTGGCTAAAGTAAATAGAAAACAGTCAACAGTTGTTTTGGATTTTGAAAATTTCAGAAAATCAGAGATCGAAAAAAAGACCAAGTACTTTGAGTTTTCTGTTGTGTCAGTACACTGATTTCCACAAGTCTTATCCCAGTACAGTTTATTTAACATGGTTGAACATGTGATCTACAATCTCAAACAGACTTTTTTTGAATGGGTGTGTATGTGGCTTCCAGTGTTTCTCTAGCCAGCTTCAGGTGGGGTCTCCCAAGAAAATGTTAAGCACCAAACATTTCTTTTCCTGCATTCTCATCCTGATTTTGTCTCGTTTAAAGAATGGAATAAAGATGTGCGCACGAGCGAGAGAGAGAGAGAGAGAGAGAGAGAGAGTAAAACCAGATATGCCTTGCTGATGGAAATGATTGATGGACCTCAGCCCCTTGTTTTGTCTCGCAGAATTTATGAAACCTTGCCAACAGTTTGCTAGTCCGTAGCCACGCTTTACAAGTCCATTGTACTGACTAGCAGACAGAATTTTTTTTTTTTTTAACTGAGCCTTCATGGGCTCTGTGCAACACAACAAAACTCCTCTTTAAAAAGTTGATCTAGCATCTCAGTTATTACAACAGGTGAGCATGATGTGAAGGCCTGTTATCAAGATTCAGCAAAACCAAGAGAGAGCATCATCACATCGGCATACATGTACCTGGGTAGCCCGAGTATTGTCTGTGTGGGAAATACTGACGCGAGTGCAGCGTAAGTGCAGTTTGTGAAGGAAAAAGGAGCAAGAGAATCGGCATCACGCAGACATGACATCGCAACTATGTGAGAATCGAGACTGGGATTCTTTCTGACCTGAGGGATCATTTTTGTTTTGTTGTGCTTCAGTTTGCACATGTCTTGGCTCCAAAAGAAGTCACCAGCACAAAATGTTGGCCGGTATTTTGTCTTTGCTCTTTATACAACAGACCAAAACTCATTGTCCATATTAATATATGCAGTTTGTGGTTTTATGACATTGAAAGGCTGTTTTAATATATGAGCATTAGAATGGAGCAATGAGCAGGGAGGGAATGATTGCATTGAACTTCAGGACACTGTTGCCTTTTCTTTGCTTTTATATGATTTTGATCCTTTTTTGATGCCAAATTAATGTTGGAGTCTTCAAACTTTTGTATTTTAGTACCAAAAGACAAAAACTTTGAAAATATTTTTTTTTACTTAAGATTTAAAAAACTGAAAGTTCTCACCAGTGAGATGATGGATCTGCATGATGAGTGCATTGTTTTGCTTTAAAATAACTTGAATGAGAGATTGTTTGTTAAATAGAATCATTTCTGCCTCAATTTATCTCTCACTAGGTTTACTCTGCACTGCTTTCTTTAAAACAGATGTACTTGTGTGTCCTTATTAACATGCAGGCTGGAGAAGAATCCATATCTGGATGGATCTGAGGGTAATTAGAGCGATCTTCCTGCAGTTGACACCTAGGAACTTACCAAACAACATGAATAACTGAATTATTATTGTTTATCGTTTGCTTGTCACTCTCTTACTCTTAGAGGCAAGAAAGATTCTGCAAAAAATTGTCTCTGGAGAGATCTACAAGTTTGTTGGTGAGAGAAAGCCAGAGGAGACCATCAAGGATTGGAAAGTAAGTCTGTGTGTTCTTGTGTTTCATTACATTTATTACACATGATCTAATGCACTGTTATCACAAAGCTGGATAATGTGCTCATTTTCAGTTAATAGAATAAGTACACATCACATTATTTACTGTCTCCAGCATTTTATCTTGCCCGTAATATTACATTTAACATGAACAGCAGCACTATTGAACAGTTCTCTTATTGAAATGTAATGTGAATTGGATAGCAGCTTGAAATGTCTTATAATACAAATCCCTCTGTCAACTAATGCTGCATGATATTGGGGAAACTGCGTTTTCTTTTTATGTTCATACTATTACAATTTTTATTATTATCTGGGTCTTCAAGTTTATTTTCTTTTACAAATAAGAACCCCTTATACATTCAAAGCTACATTTAATTTGCATCAAGAGCCCTGTGACATTAACTTCTAAGCAAAGAACAGTTCATCTTCATACACTGCATGTGATCCCTTCACTCTCTCTCCCTCTACACTTTATGTGCTCATAGACTAACACACGTCCTGGGATATTACCATGGCACTTGTACACATAGCAAAATTAATGCTTAGATCATACCATGCAGCCCTACAGTCAAACGCATTTACACTAAGTTGGTGCAGTTTTTGAGTGAATAAGAATGAATTCCAAGTTTCTTACATTGTCAACTTAAAATGCAAAAAACTTGAATCTATATCCTTTTCCACTGTTAATTTTTTTCTGATTCCTTGTCAAGAGCCAGATTTCTGGCTGGAAAGAAGGATTGGCTCAACCCCTCCCTGACGAGGAAGAAAACAACCTGAAACCAGAGGACTTTGAAATCCTGGTGAGTTTTCTTTTACTTTCTTTCATCTGACCTTTTTTTGTAAAATCTTCAGTTTTGCTGATTCTTTGATTTGTAAGATGTTGCAGAGTTTGTTATGGCACACATTTTACTCTCGACCTTCTTTTTAGGTCATTAACAAGGACTACGGCATGAAAGACGAGAACAGGAAAATGTCAGAACTAACTATTGATTAAAACAATTTTTTTATCACAATCATTCAATAGTTCTTCTGTCTGTTATTTGTAAGGAGTTTATGTCTCCATAACTCTCAAAGTAAAGCTGCTGTCATTCTTTACAGGAATCCAGGATTCGCACATTGATCTTTTCTGAGCAGCTGATCAGGGTCTTCTGTAAGGAGATTGATGACAGAGTGTGGAGGCTGCCAAAAAGCACTTTAAACAGTGGTACAATGATTTTCCAATCCTTAGATAATAGTTGAATCTTAAGATGTTAAAGGATACAATACATATCAACTAACTTGCTGTTGATTGAACATAAAACCAGTTGACTTGGCTAAAGTAAATAGAAAACAGTCCACATTGAGTACAGTTTATTTAATATGGTTGAACATGTGATCTACAATCTGCTGAGTGTGGAAAACATTAGCTGTGCTAGCATCCTCAGCCTTCGGTCTTCCTTTCAGGTTAACATATGCTTACCTGTGCTGGTGAAGCTCTACTCTAATAGATTTGATACTTTAACTTAACAAAATACTGCCAAAGTGAGCAACACTCCAACATGTTATTGGTCCTTTGTCCTGGTTTGCATCCAGGTTAGACAGCAAGTCTAGACAGTCAGTCAGGTTTCTGTACTGAAACAATTTTACTGACCTGTATTGGAACCGTGCAGGACTCTGGTTTGGGGCCCTCAGGTTAAGAGAGGTAAGCAACAGCAGCATGGGAGTGAAACCAAAAGATTAACCAACCCTCTGGTTTCTTCAACTTTCACTCAGGAGCAAAAATCAGCTTTTAAATTTGAAAATTTGAAAGTAATAATGATTGATAATTATTGTGATAATTATATCGACTGATATGACATTTTGATAACATTTTTAGTTTTTTTAGCCAGGCCTATAAGCTACGGGTCTTATTTGAATAACGCGTATCCTTCATGAAAAGAAAAACGGACATGTTAAAAAAAAAATCCCTCTTCATACAAGTGTGTGCTGATTGAGACATGAGATAATCAGACCAATTTAGTTTTTAATCGGCTGTAAACATGTTTATTTCTGCTGTAAAAATTGGCTTTTCTGAATGGGTGTGTATGTGACATATTAATATATGCAGTTAGTGGTTTTATTACATTGAAAGGCTGTTTTAATATATGAGCATTAGAATGGAACAATGAGCAGGGAGGGAATGATTGCATAGTGAAACAAAACTTCAGGATTCTTTTTTTGCATATACATGATTTTGATCCTTTTTTGATGCAAATTAGCATTGGTGTCTTCAAACTTTTGTATTTTCCTACCAACGGACAAAAACTTTGAAATAATGTATTTTATTACTTGAGATTTACAAAAACTGAAAGTTCTCACCAGTGAGATGTGGATCTGCATGATGAGTGCATTGTTTTGATTTAAAATAAGTTGAATGTTGATCGTTTGTTAAATAGAATCATTTCTGCCTCAGTTTATCTCTCACTAGGTTTACTCTGCACTGCTTTCTTTAAAACAGATGTACTTTTGTGTCTTATTAACATGCAGGCTAGAGAAGAGCCAAATCTGGTTGGACCTGAGGGTAATTAGAGCGATCCTCCTGAAGTTGACACCAAGGAACTTACCAAACAACATGAATAACACTGAATAATATTTGCATTCAGACCTAGCACTCATGTTTTTTCTCGCTTTTATCATATACATGCTGTATCATTCTTTTAAATTGATTGTTTAAAAATCAGTTCCAACAACACACAACATGTTTTTATTCTGAGGACAAAGATAAATCATAATATATGATACCACTCTGTACAATTACGGGGCCTGCAGTCAATATGAAACAGTATCATTGGCCCATTTAATTCACTGTGTTACGCTTCTATCGACTCACACAGAAAACCCATTCAAAATTTGATACAGAAAAAATTGGATACTTTTTTTTAACATTAAGGAAAATATATATCAGTTATAAAGCCATATCTCAAAGATCACTGGATCTGGATCGCTTCTGGATTTGAATTTCTGATCTCTAAACTGATACATAGACACACATGACACTGGATACTTACACAGCTAGCAGCTGTATGGCTGTTGAATACCATTTAGGTAAAGAAAGCCATTATTGAAATCCAACAATCATTGTCTCAAACTGAATATATAAACTGCATGTTTCTGAATTGATTCAGCTTTTGGTCACATTTATGCTTCTTTGTAGGTTGTGAATTCTTTTTGGTCAGGGAAGATGTAAAGCACTCCCAACATGTGTAATGGAGTGAATATTTCACTTGTGGTTTTATTTAGGGATTTATAATACTCAGTGGTGTTTTAGTTTTGATGTTAATCATTTGAAGATTGAGGACATGAGATTAGATTATTTGTCTTTGAGTGGTGTTTAATGAGAGATGATCATGAGTGATGTTTTGGTGACTGGTATTATCTTATATTATATTACTTTGTATCTGCAGCATTTATTATCACAATACAATTTTAACCTGTTTTAAAATGAGTCTTATTTTGGGCATGTTTTATAATGTGCTCTTCTTTTGAGTTTATGATTCTTACTTTAAAAACTGGAACTTGTGAAAACCTTTATTTGCATCTAAAAACTTGAAATTCGAATTGAACAATACATTTTTAAACGTATCCATCAACTACCTTTCTTCAATGGATGATGAATGTGTTTAAATGTATGACACACTTTAAGTGAAGCTATAATTGTTTGACGATTGGTTCTTACATAATGCATCTATGAGAACCTTTCAAGTGTATTCCTGTTGTGATGGGTTCATATCTGATAAAATCTGCATGTATTCAAAATAAACATCAGAGAAAATCCTGAGTTCAACATTGTGTAATCTATCAAACCATATGCATCTATATATATATATGTATATATATACACTGTATATATCACCTGTGGTACAAATCTAATTGCAGTTCAAAGTCCTTTACAAAGGAGCGGAAACGTGACTGACAAAAGGTAGTTTGTAAAATATAACAGCAATAAGAAATGAAATCAGCACAATGATTAATAAATATAAATACTAAAAACCTAAAATCAAACACTAAAATGTAAATTTAAAAGTAGAGATGAATAATATTGATTAAAATATAGTAAATCAAAAGCCTTAAAATGATTAAGTCATATAGAAAAGCCAGACTGAATAAATAAGTTTTTTAAATTGTTTTTAAAAATCTCAATATTCTCTGATCCTCTGAAGTCTGTTCCAAAGTCTCAGAGCAGCAAAACGCAGAATCACAAAAGGTTTTTGTTCTGCTCTGTGGAACAACTAAAAGAAGAACCAAGAAGAACAAGAAGACCTGAGGGGTCGTCCTGGTTCATAAACTAAAATCAACTCTGAAAAGTTAATCTGGTGGGAGGCCAAGTGCTTTAGACAATAATAAAATCAATATGAAGACAAAGAGGCAGCCAGTGTCAAGACTTTCAAAGATAGTGTAAGATGGAGATGAGATTTATTTTTGTGAAGTATTATTTTATAGATCTTTATTTTGATTAGGTTGAGATAATATACATTATTTGATTTAATGCTAATTTCATTTATATTTACAATTTGTACTGTACAAGAGTATCTGTTTGATATGATGCACTATGCCTTTAAGGTTACCCATGGTTACGGTTTGAGGAGTGATATTGCTTTAGGACAAGTAAGGTGTCACTGTTGTTGTTGTTCAGTCTGGATATGTCATGCTCTGTTACGGACGGACATTAAACGTATGAGACGCACAGCAGAAGTTGTTCCCGTGCTTTTACTTACCCACACCCGAATATACAGTAGAAATATATATATAAAAACATATTGTCTTGCAGCCTTTTCTTCTTCATGAGTGGAGAATTAAAACAAAGTGTTAATAGTAATTTGCCTATGTGCCTATGTTTGATTAAAGAGTGGAAGGTACCGCACATCAATTTGCAATTTGGGACCTTCTCTATTTTGAAGATCATTTTTGATGAACTTAACTTTCGCCCTATTTTATAAGCTCTCCATAAACATTTAGAAGCTGTTTTTAACTTTCTAAAATAAAGTGCCAAGACGTTATTAAGATTTCAGTGTATTAGTATTAGTCAACAAATATAAATTCTTCTGTAAAGATGTTAACACTCATTCATTACTTCATCATAACTGCCAACTACTTGATATTGTTTTAATCTGTCCTTTAGAAGTTTTTTAGACAGTTTTTTCGACATTGCCTATTTCATCACATCATGTTAAGTTTATTTGTAGGACACAGTAATCAACTGTACATCATTTGCAATAACAGAAACTGTGTGTGGAGTTTATATATTATTTCACCACACATTAAGTGTTGTATGCAGAAGGTGTAATTCTAAATCCCAAATGTTCATGCTGTGAGAGACTGATAATACTGTTAATGTGTTGTTATTTTGTGTGTGGGTGTGTAGGGCGAGGTAGGTAAATAAATTATGCAAAGCTGAATACTCTGCCTGTTTTTCTTTCTGCTGGTAGAACAGGGAGCAGCAGGAGATGAGCCATAGAAAAAAATCACAGCTTTTAAAAGAGATATGTCATATGATGAAACAATGACAAATCATGATTGTTCATATAATTTTAACACAAATGTTCACATTTATACAAGTGTTGTACAGGATGCAGGAGATATCATTCTAAATCCCTAATGTTCATATTGTGAGAAACTGATAATGTGTGTGTGTGTGTGTGTGTGTGTGTGTGTGTGTGTGTGTGTGTGTGTGTGTGTGTGTGTGTGTGCGGGGTAGGTAAATAAATTATGCAAAGAGCAGAATACTTTGCATGTTTGTTCTGCCGGTACAAAAAGAAGCAGCAGGAGATGAGCGAGAAACTGTTGGAATCACTAGATTCCAATAGTTTATTGGAATTAATCACATTATTATTCGCATTCGCCATTTATTTCAGAATCAGAAATACTTTAATAATCCTGGAGGGGGGGGGGTGAGTGATAATGTGTTATAAAACGCCTTGAGAGGTGTCTTGCTCAAAGGCACCTCGACAGTGCTCAGGAAGTGAATTGGCGCCTCTCCAGCTACCAGACCAATCTCCAGACTTGAACCGACGACCCTCCGGTTCCCAACACAAGTCCCTGCAGACTGAGCTACTGCCACCCCATAGAGCTTTTACTCCAAGAAATAAACAACTTAAAACACAACCTGATCCAGGTATTTATATATTTCAGAATCTTGAAAGTATACTAAGTACTGATGTTGTAGTGAGGACCACACTAACCGAGACCAAGACATATGTGAGACCAGAGTGATATGAGACTGAGACAAGACCGAGACATTTAGGGATCGAGACCAAGTCAAGACCAAGACCATAAATATCACTTTTAAAATCATCATGTGTGCAGCGGGCGTGTCACTCACCACTCATCAGTAACACCAGGAAGGTTGCGGTGGTAACCAAGAGATAAAAATCAAACTACAAATGAATTGAAGTCATTTGTTCTTTTAGAAAGGAGCATCGGAGGTGGTCTTGACTGGTCTTAATCTAAAATCAGGAGTCCGCCCAGTCTGAGACAGAGACAAGACAGAGTAAAAATACTTTCAAGACGAGACCTTCAAACAGTGGTCTCGAGACCGGTCTTGATTTCGATTACTACAACACTAGTGTGTACATTTGAAAAAAAGAAAGAAAAATATCCTAAAATAACCAGTAAATACTCTGTTCATTGCATTGGAAAATAAACTTAATTTTGAAGTAAGCATATTAAATTAAGGATTAACAATTGTACTGGAGGTTAAAATATGAATGTTGGTATCATAGAGGCTGATAAAAGCTATGTATTCCTTCCTTTGGTTGAATTATAAGTCCACCGAAGAATATCCTACAATTTGGCCCTCTGACAGTGAGAATTAAATATATGTGGCCCTTGCTGTGACCAAAGTTGCCCTTTCCTGGTCTAGATCAACACCAATGGGTTACACCATCCAATCTGCATCCCGATATCTGACTTCTTTGCCACACCTGTTTAAGCCACAACCACAACTTTATAAAAGCCTGCGCTCAGGTCTGTTACTTCCTCTTCCATCCAAACCAAGCCTGACCTGCTATAGAGAACAACAAAAACCTCCATGTGAGTGTAAAATGGATCTTTCACCTTACTTCATTCTTATTTTGTTGATATATTATGAATTATTTCCAATAAAACACATGTATTAATGATAGTTTAAAAAACAATTTTAGAAACTTACTTAATTATTCTGATTGGTTTGACATTATTTATCAAGATCTGTAATATTTCCTATTTGTCATCAGCTAAAATCATTCACAACATCTACAAAGAGGATCAACTTTTGAAACAGCATCAGATCCTGTGTACGAACATGTGAACTCCAGTTTGCGTTCCTTTGTCCTTACGTTAGGTTCATTTGCTTTATGTTGATTTGTGTTTTTTTTACGACTGATTTGTGAATTTGTGAATATGTCAAAATAAGTAGCCTAAAAAAGTACCAGATATTACAGTTTTAGTACATCATTGACTTTTAAAAAAATCAATAGTTATACTAACATGAGATTACAATTTGTCATTTAAGTTTGATCTGTGTTGCTGCACGGAGAATCAGTTTGACTTTGACATCCTTCTTTCAGTTTAAAACAAAACTTAAACCTCAGCAGAAATTAGATGATAAAAATGGATATTTATAAGCCCTATAAAGATACCTGACCTGGGAATAAAGTCATATCTTTGTGATGAAATTAAGAAAACCAACTCTTTATGGAAGTAAGATAACAAAGTGAGATATGTTAACATAGATATTATCTTTAAACAACTTTCTATGTCTGCAATCAGAAGTAATCTCAGAAGAAAAAGTAGGAGATGTCACATTGATAAAAACACATCTGCAATGTGCTCATTCTGGATGTTACTGGAGGTCATATATTATAGTCTCATCTTTTATTTTTGGATAGAATGATGACAGACAGATGTTCACCTCCTTTACATGCTTCTGGATACATCATGAGGCTGAACATCTTTGTCATCATAGAATGAGAAAATCTTTTACAGTCTGAGGGTTTCTTACGTTTCCTTTCTGAAAGTTATGACAAAAGCAACACAAAAAAGATTAGTACCTGTTTAAAATTTCTCCTTCAGAGCATTCTTCAAATGGTCAGGGCACACTTTACCATAGAGAGTTCAGCAACATTCCCATCTTGTGGCCATTTGATGTAATTGCAGTCCTCAAATAGAGTACACTATAAATCTCTGTCTAAAGAGCAGGTTAAACATGCAACATTCCTCTAAATGTTTCTTCAGAAGTAACTTCTAATACTGATTTATTTCTAACATCCTGTCATTTCTTCACTTCTTTATACGTTTAGATTTGTTAATTTGACTTAAGAAATTCTGATGCACTTTCAGTTTTGTTTTCTGAAATGTTTGGTATATCAATAAAAGAAGAGGATCATTATGAGGGTAAAGACCAATGACATGGGTGTGGTGGAGATATAAATGTCAGATGTTTTAAAACCCTGAGCGTCATAAAAAAAAAGCCTTAAGCAGCTATGGCTATATAAATGACATTTGACACTTGTCAGATCAGCATCAGAAACATTAGCTTGATGTAAATGCAACGTCTTACGGCTTCAAAACATTAAAAACTATATAGATAGATTTGATCTTTAAGTCACAGGTAGCTGAGGAAATGAGTTGGTACAAAAAGAAGGACGATTGGAGGAAAATTTAGAGGTCGGTTTTCTAGTTACAGTCGACTAAATTCATGGTTTGTTTTCTGGTTTGGTAAGTTGTATCCATGGTTATTTTAAACTCATGGTTTAACTTGACAATGTTGCATTTTAGCTTGTGTAAAACTGAGGTTACTTAATAAATGACTGAAGACTAACTTCTTGCTCTTTTATCTAGAACAAGTCGGGGCAAAATGGGAAATAAGTGAGTACCTCTGTCTTTGTTAAACCAGTTTAAAATATCTCAACTTTATAAAGAAATCATTTTAAGTTGGAAGTTTCAGCACTTGTTCATACTGTTAATGCTTTTTTTTTCTAAATTTTACAGACTGATCACCAAGGTAAAATACTTCACGTCTTACCACACATCACACCACATTTTTGCGGCTGGAGAGATAAGAGAGAATAAACAGAACAAACAATGACGACTTGTAGAATAAACCGCACACAAACACACCTCCACAAAGTTAAGCCTGTGTACATGTATTATCCATTATCAGTCTAAATTAAAAATCGAATTAACTGGGAGGACTTTGTTCTCTAGATGCTTATTATCCACACCAGTGGTGAGGACAGCTAGCTTTGTGCACCTTTACTATCCAAACCAACCCTCTTTGTTCTCCTTTCCTTTAATCCTAAAAAAAAGGAAGAGGAACACAGACTGTAGGCTATTGAAATAGGACATTTTCAGTGTCCAATGTTTTGTTCTCTTTGTTCTACTAGATGCTGAATATCCCCACCAGTGGTGAGGACAGCTAGCTTTGTTCACCTTTTCTATCCAAATCAACCCTCTTTGTTCTCCTTTCCTTCAATACTTAAAAAAAAGGAATAGGAAGACACGCTTTGTATTGAAAGGACATTTTCAGTGTCCAATGTTTTGTTCTCTTTGTTCTACTAGATGTTTAATATCCCAACCAGTGGTAAAGTCAAAAAAACGTTCTTTGTAGCATCAGCTTTATTCTTGGGCTCATTTCATGCTTATCCTATACCTCCCAGAGCCCTCAGGCAATCTTGAGCTGGTCTTCATGGTGTTGTTTTGTTTTTGGCATTTCATTTTTCTTAGCTTTTGTTTGTTTGTTTTCTGCCAGGTGTTTAATGATCCCATCCATGGTAGCATAGAGTTACACCCACTCCTCATCAAGATCATTGACACACCTCAGTTCCAGAGACTTCGATTCATAAAGCAGCTTGGAGGTGTCTACTTTGTTTACCCTGGAGCGTCTCACAACCGCTTTGAACACTCAATCGGGTAAGTCAGCAAGTTTTCAGATTTCAGCCCACAGGTGACCTCAGTCCAAATAAGGAGAAGACTCATGGTTTTCACATAAGCACCTTGTAAAACCAATAAAGGCAGAAAACAGTGCCTGTCTTAGTATGGATCTTATAAAAGTATATATTTTCATTTTGGTAGCAGCATCCTATTGTGATAACTGCGTTATGACTTTAAAAAAAAATGTTTTCTGTGGTCTAAAAAGGGTGGGATACTTAGCAGGAAAACTTGCTGAGGCTCTCAGGTCAAGGCAGCCGGATCTCAGCATCACTGACAGAGACGTCCTTTGTGTTCAGATTGCTGGCCTCTGTCATGACCTGGGTGAGTAATACATCCCTTTTCAATATTACATATAATAGTTTATAAATTATGTTATTGGGTATGAAAAGAGTAAAATGAAAGTGAAATGATCCAGAAATAACCCTTCCATCTTTCAAAAAAGCAAGGGCTTCTGCATTAATAAATAAAAAATACGAGGGTGGGGTGAGGTGGTGGTAGCTCGGTCTGTAAGGACTCTGATAAGAACTGGAGGGTCTGAATCTTTAAAAATAATATTTAGACTCAGAATTTTTTTTTAACCCAGAGGGCGTTTCGGTACCACAGTCCACCCAGACCATGCATACATTTACAAACACATAACAGTCTTTCTTGTAAGCAATATTCTCAAGTTTAGATTCAGGAGTAATCCGTTCAAACTCAACAAGACATACTGACTGTATAATCTGTACACTATCAATGGATTACGCCTGTATTTATCTATCCATTTCAAGGTCATGGACCCTTTTCCCATCTGTATGATGGACTGTTCCTCCCCAAAGCACTGGAAAAAAAGAGGAAATTAAAGAAATGGAAGGTAAGAAGTTTTTATTTCTGTTATTTCTTTACTCATAGTTTTTCTTTCTTTTTCTTTTTATATCTATTTATATCTGCACCTTATTTTTATTTTTTATATGTAAATACATGCTGCTGTTTTTTATCCTGCACTACAACGAGCCAAATGCAACGAAATTTCGTTCTTATCTGCACTGTAAAGTACAAGTTTGAATGACAATAAAGAAAGTCTAAGTCTAAGTAATATAACAAATGAAATACAGAGGAACGGCAAAACTGAAGCACATGTACCTTTCACACTGGCTTGTTCTTTTGAAACAAAATCCAGGATGTTGATTTTTGTTTGCTTTTTCAGGTGTAATGTGATTATGCACATTTCCAAGAATGTTGATCTATTTCTTTAATAACAATGAACTTTGTAGCTTGTGTTGCTAAATGACCCATACCCTGTTCTCTTTGGTAATAATATGTCAACTTTTTATCTGACATGTTACCGCTGTTCAGAAGCTCCATGAGATTTTAATAATGTTTCTGTTTTAACCATTAATCCTGGTGATTCAGGGATTTAGATACAACAAACAAAGATAATAATTGAATTCATGGTTCATGAGAGGTACTTATTTATGACAGGGACCTCTTTTAAAAGCAGAAGGGATTTCTAGATCTATTTATGTCTCTTTGTCACTCAATAAGAGAAGATAACCTTTATTCATCCTACAACGGGCAGCAAAGAGCAAGGATAGCCAAAAAAGAGCACACAGTGCACCATTCAATAACTTTAGATCAAAAGAGTGCGATTGTTGTGTTTACACCCAAACAAACCGGGCTAAAGGGGAAACGCCCCTTTGTTTCAGAACAACTTTTCCAAACAACCCAGGTGTGAAAAAACGCTTGGTGAGAAAACTGAGCTGCATTATCACCTTCCCAAAAACTCTTATGCTTAACAGTTTGACATCGGGTTGAGTTCAGCTAGCTAAATAACCCTGATAAAGACTGTTAAGATGTTGTATACAGTATATTGGCTGACATTAAGTGGCTCATCAAATTCTGAAGCGCTTTAGGAACTCTGACATTGTAAGTTGTTTTACATACATACGTTTGAGATATACTCTTCAAATGTGGGGAAAATTAAAGTATGTGGGATTATTGTATTTATGTATTAAATCTTGTGTTGACACATTTATGAGTCTGTGTGTCTCGCAGCATGAAAGGGGCTCTCGTCTCATGCTAGACCACCTGGTGAAAGAGAATAATCTTAAACCAATGATGAAGTATGGACTGAAACCTGAAGAAGACATAACATTCATTAAGGAGATGATTGCTGGACCTCTACAGGAATCTAAAGAGCAGGAGGCAAGTTCACCTCATTATGTTTTTCAGAAGTCGGATAAGATACTGTATGAATATTAGATAAGAGAAGATAAAACTTTATTCATCCTACAACGGGCAGCAAAGAGCAAAGATAGCCAAAAAAGGAGCACACAGTGCACCATTCAATAAAAAAATAGATCAAAAAAGTTGAGCAGCTAAAAGAGTGTGATTGCTGTGTTCACATATTTATCAAACAAACCGGGCTATGGTTTCAGAACAACTTTTCCAAACTATCCAGGTGTGAAAAAATCCTTAGAGAGAAAACTGAGCTGCAGTATCACCTTCCCAAAAACTCTTATGCTTAACAGTTTGACTCTGGGTTGAGTTCAGCTAGCAAAATAACCCTGATAAAGACTGTTAGGATGTTGTATACAGTATATGTCCACAGAAGATTGGCTGACATTAAGTCACTCATCGAATTCTGAGGAACTCTGACATTTAAAGTGTTTACACACGTTTTGAGATCTACTCTGCAAATGTTGGTTGTGCTATTTGTGTAGTTCCTTGTCTTCTTGCAATATTTTTCATGATTTGATGAAAGCGAAGCATGGATTGAAACCTGAACATGTGAAAAACATTAAGGTGATGATTGCTGAAGACCAGAAGGCAAGTTCTCATCTGTGCATAAATCAGTCTGTGTCCTACAGCAATGCCACTAATGTCACTATTTTGTAACATTCAGTATAAAGGCGGACAAGAAGAGTCCTTTTTGTTTTAAACGGTAAAAAAAGTTTTTCTTCTGCCGAGAACTCAGATCTTAAAATTGAACAGTTGTTTTGTTTGTCATGCTTTTTCATGTACATAGTTTATTGTGTTCATATTTTAGCTTTATCTCTGTTTTGTGGAATGGTCCTACATATTTTTTCTATGCAGTGTAAATTCATTGAACAACATACGTGTCAATAAAACTGGTCCTGATTCGCTTTGTGTCGTCATCCCTGCAGTTGCAGTTCAAAGGGCGCTCAAAAGAATGGTCCTTCCTCTATGAAATTGTGTCCAACAAAAAAAACGGCGTTGATGTGGACAAGTTTGACTACTTGGCCAGGTCAGGTTTTAATGAAGTGCTGTAGAGCAATTCATTTTGTGATGAAGACCGCGACAGCACTTCTTTTTTTTTTACCGTGAACAATGCATTATTCTCCTGATTATTTTAAATTATAGGCTACAAAACTCTCCAGTAAATTCAGTTTCCCTCTATACACCTATTTTCTTCACCTTGCCTCAATCTGCCTCTACTCAGGGACTCTTCCTACCTGGGGATCAAGAACAACTTTGACTTTCGTCGCTTCCTGCAGTTTGCCAGGGTGTGTGAGGTTGAAGACAAAGACTGCAAAGAAGGAAAAAGGAAAACTATCTGCACCAGAGACAAGGTGCTGACACACTTGAGCTTGTAAACAGATAATTGAAAGCAAACTGATAATGTTGTTATTTATGACTAAACTACAGTCCTAACCTCAACAGAAGGAAGACCATATGTACCACTTGTTCTATACAAGACACTGTCTCCACAAAAGAGCCTGTCAGCATAGAGTAAGCCAAATCATACAAGAAATGTAAGTGTCTACCTTCAGAAGTTAGTACTCCAAATATAAGATTGGTCTCCTTCTGTTTTCGATTATTCAATCTGCATCATGATTCACTATCTCATCAGTAATAATATATTTGATATGAACATACAGGATTGCAGAGGCTTTTTTGAAAGCAGACGATCACATTCAGATTGAAGGATCAGGAGGGAGGATGTTCACTCTCTCTACAGCCTTTAAGAACATGGAGGCCTACACAAAGCTCACAGGTGTGTAGATTTAAATGTGTGCTGTTAGCTCATGTTTAACATTGAAGCCAATTCAGACTACAGGAGTATCAAGACATTGTTTAAATAATGCACTACACCCAACAATCTGAAAAGGAAATTGTGTGTAGGCACTTGGTCGGTTTTGATGTTTGGCCAAGGACAAGGTTATCTGGTAGTTTGAGGAGTTCACAAATCCAGTCTCAAACATCCTGAACAACTGGCTGTCCTGATCATTTGAACTTGTTTGATATTTAGGATGTTTATTTATGAAGTAACAGAAATATGACATATTTCAACACTTTTTGGAAACACACTTTGTTAGATGCTGCTTTCTGTCAGATGGCTCTGTTGCTAGGTCATTTACAGTTATGCTACTTTATCCATTTTTTTTATCGTGCATTTGTTAAAGATAAATAAACCACATCCTGTTAATTTACTTGTGATGACTTATAAATTAACATGCCATGTCTTACAATTTATTGCGTGTGTTTAAATTAAATTCACTAATTTTTGTGTGTGTTATTATCATTTGTTTGCTTGTTACTCTGTTACTCTTTTAGACAACGTGTTTGAGGAAATACTGAAGTCTTCCTGCTCAGAGCTAGAAAAGGCAAGAGAGATTCTGCAAAACATCATCTCTCGAAAGAGCTACAAGTTTGTTGGTGAGACAAAGCCAAAGGACCCCATCCAGGATTGGGAAGTAAGTCTGTGTGTTCTTGTGTTTCATTACATTTATAACACATGATCTAATGCACTGTTATCACAAAGCTGGATAATGTGCTCATTTTCAGTTAATAGAATAAGTACACATCACATTATTTACTGTCTCCAGCATTTTATCTTGCCCGTGTTGTTATTACATTTAACATGAACAGCAACACTATTGAACAGTTCTCTTTTTGAAATGCAATGTGAATTGGATAGCAGCTTGAAATGTCTTACAATACAAAATCCCTCTGTCAACTAATGCTGCATGATATTGGGGAAACTGCGATAACCTTTGAGGTTCATACAATTACAATTTGTATTATCATTTGGGCCTTCAATTCTATTTTCTTTTTCAAATAAAAACCCCTTATATGTTCAAAGTGACTTTTAATTTGCATCAAGAGCCCTGTGACAGTAAAGAACAGTTCATCGTCACACACTGCATGTGATCCCTTCAACTCTACATCTTATGTGCACATAGACTCTGCCTGCACAGAAGTCACTTCTCTTTGTGATCAGGAAGAGGATCAGACAGACTGATATTGTAGATCAGTCATGGAAAGAGAGAAACTGAAGGCTTTTTGTTTTTTCAAAAGCAAAAACAACAAAAAATGGCATGAAATGACGCATTTCAGGACATATGATTGATATTATATATTCTGTAATGTTATCATAGCACTTGTACACATACGCAAAAATGATGCTTAAATCATACCATGCAGCCCTACAGTCAAAAATATCTACACTAAGTTGGTGCAGTTTTTTGAGTGAATGTGAAATGAATTCCAAGTTGCTTACATTGTCAACTTAAAATGCAAAAAACCTTTTCTATCCTTTCGCACTCTTCTCAACGTTTCTGCTCCATTTTCAAGAGCCTGATTCCTAGCTGGAAAAAAGGACTGGCTGAGGGAGAAAGAAACCTGACACCAAAGGACTTTGAAATCCTGGTGAGTTTTTTTGACTTTCTTTCATTTCACCTTTTTGTAAAATCTTGGGTTTTGCAGATTTTTTGATTTGTAAGATGTTGCAAAATTTGTTACTGCAGACATACTTTTACTCTCAACCTTCATTTTAGGTCATTGAAATGGACTATGGCATGGACGACAAGGACCCTATCCAACATGTTCATTTCTACAGCAAATCTGAGCTTGACAAGGCAAAGCTAATGCCCGAAGAAAAGGTAAGAACTAAATATTGATTAAAACATTTTTTATCGCAATATTTCTTCTGTTTATTGGGCTCCATTGTTTACACCCGTGAACAGCTGGTTGCGCTGTGCCAGCCTCGGTTACATCCAGCCGAAAGACCGGACATCCCCGCAGAACTACGGAGGAAGAGAAGGGGATGCAGAGCCGGAGTGAAGTGCCGGGAAAAGAAAAGACGGTACAAACCATCCGTGCCGTCTTTAATTATGGGGAATGTAAGATCTCTCCCTAATAAGATGGAGGAGCTGACGGCGCTCACCCGGCTTCAGAGGGAGTACCGAGAGTGTAGCATCATGCAGTTCACGGAGACATGGCTGAATGAACTCACTCCGGACACGCTCGTAACTTTGGACGGCTTCCAACTCGTCAGAGCGGACCGGAGCGCGAGGGAGAGCGGTAAGAAGAAAGGCGGGGGAATAGCGATGTATGTGAATGAGAGGTGGTGTAACTCTGGGCACATCACCGTTAAAGAACAGCGCTGCACTAAGGATGTGGAGCTGCTGGCTGTAAGCATTCGGCCATATTACCTGCCGAGGGAGTTTTCACACGTCATCGCGGTGACTGTTTACATCCCCCCCTCGGCAGACGCTGCTGCAGCCTGTGAACTCATCCACAGTGTAGTGTCTCAGCTACAGACATCACACCCCCAGTCTCTTACTCTCATCTCAGGAGACTTTAACCACGTTTCCCTGTCTGCCACTCTCCCTACTTTCACTCAGTATGTTGACTGCCATACTAGGGACAATAAAACTTTGGACTTACTGTATGCAAACACCAAGGCTGCATACAGATCATCACCCCTCCCCCCTCTGGGCCGCTCAGACCACAACCTGGTGAGACTGCAGCCCATTTACATACCTATGGTGAAAAAACAACCCCCCACAACCAGGTATGTGAAGAAGTGGTCTAAGGAGGCCACTGAGGCGCTGCAGGACTGCTTCGACACCACTGACTGGGAGGTGCTGTGCAGCCCACATGGGGAGGACATCGACGGTTTAACCCACTGCATCACAGATTACATAAACTTCTGTGTTGAGAACACTGTACCCACCAAAAAAATACAGTGTTTCTCCAACAACAAACCCTGGGTGACCCCTGAGCTGAAAACCCTGCTCAATGAAAAGAGAAGGGTTTTTAGATCTGGAGATAGAGAGGAGCTGAGGAGGGTGCAAAAGGATAGCTCAAGATTAGATTAGATTCAAGGAATTGAAAGCCAGCTATCGGGAAAAGATGGAGGAAGATTTACAACATAAAAATGCAAGAGAAGTCTGGAGGGGCCTGAATAACATCTCAGGTCACAGCAGAAGGCGTGGGAGGGGCCCTGAAGCAGGAGACAGGGAGTGGGCAAATGAACTGAATCTGTTCTTCAATAGATTTGATTCTGCTCCCAACCCCAGCCTTCACCCACCAGAGCGCAGACCAGCCCGCTTCTCCATCTGAGTACCCTGAGTACCCTGCCACCCCCCTCAACAGCCCTCTCCTTCTCCTCCTCCTCCTCAGACGACCCCCCAACAACCCCCTCCTCTTCTTCATCCTCCTCCTCCGACGGCCTCTCCATAACAGCTGATCAGGTGAGAAGCCAGCTGAGGAAGATCAAGGCGAGGAAGGCCACAGGTCCCGACGGCATCAGCTCCAGACTCCTGAAGGACTGTGCAGACCAGCTCTGTGAGGTCCTTCTGCACATCTTCAACCTGAGCCTGAGACTGGAGAGGGTACCGACTCTGTGGAAGACTTCCTGCGTGGTGCCAGTCCCAAAGACATCTCACCTCAGGGAGCCTAACCACTTCAGACCTGTGCCCTCACCTCTCACCTGATGAAGACCATGGAGAGGATCGTCCTCAACAACCTCTGCCCCCTGATGACTTCAAATCTGGATCCTCTGCAGTTCGCCTACCAGCCGAACATCGGGGCGGATGACGCCGTCATCTACCTGCTGCAGAGATCCTGGACTCACCTGTAGAACACCGGCAGCACTGTGAGGGTCATGTTCTTTGACTTCTCCAGTGCCTTCATCACCATCCAGCCTGCACTGCTCAGGGGGAAGCTAGAGAGGGCGGGAGTGGACTGTCACCTGGCTGCATGGACAACGGACTACCTCACCAACAGACCACAGTACGTGAGGCTTCAGGACTGTGAGTCTGACATGGTGGTCTGCAGTACAGGGGCCCCGCAGGGGACAGTTCTCTCCCCTTTTCTCTTCACCCTGTACACCTCGGACTTCTGTTACAACTCTGGGAGCTGCCACCTGCAGAAGTTCTCCGATGACACAGCCATCGTGGGGTGTGTGTCTAAGGGGAGCGAACAGGAGTACAGGCAGGTCATCATGGACTTTGTCGACTGGAGTGAGCTCAACCACCTTCAGCTCAACGCCAGCAAGACAAAGGAGATGGTGATTGACTTCCGCAGGAAGTCACCCCAGACTGCACCGGTGTACATCCAGGGCTTGGACATCGAGAGGGTGGAGACGTACAAATACCTGGGTGTTCACCTCAACAATAAACTGGACTGGTCACACAACACCGACGTCCTGTACAAGAAGGGCCAATGTCGACTTCACCTGCTGAGCGACTGAGGTCCTTTGGAGTGTGCAGGACTCTGCACGGACTTTTTATGACACTGTGGTGGCGTCTGCACTTTTCTATGCAGTGGTCTGCTGGGGAGGAGGGAGCATGGAGAGAGACAGAAAGAGACTGAACAGACTGGTCAGGAGGGCCAGTTCTGTCTTGGACTGTCCTCTGCACTCTGTAGAGGAGGTGGGTGAGAGGAGGATGTTAGTGAAGCTGACATCCATCATGGACAACCCCTCTCACCCCTTGCATGACACTGTGGGGGCCCTGAGCAGCTCCTTCAGCAGCAGACTGAGACACCCACCCTGCAAGACAGAGCGCTACCGCAGGTCGTTCATCCCATCTGCAGTCAGACTGTTTAATCAGACTCTTTAACAACATCACCACTCATGCTACACACTGTGTGTGTGTTTTTTTAAAGCAATCCCTTAATTACTGTGTAATTTTACATTATTGTATTTTTTATTTTATTTAAATGATGTAAATATGTTTGATTTGATTTTAACTTCTAGTTTTATTTTTAATAAGTATATTCCCGTCCCCTGTTTTCTGGAGCTGCTGTAATGCACAAATTTCCCCCACAGGGGATCAATAAAGTTTATCTTTATCTTTATCTTTAAATTATTTGTAAGGCAGCTTATGTCACCACAACTCTCAAATTAAAGCTGCTGTCCTTCTTTACAGGGATCCAGGATTCGCACAACGTGCTTTTCTGAGCAGCTGATCAGGGTCTTCTGTAAGGAGATTGATGACGAGAGTGTGGAGGCTGCCAAAAAGCACTTTAAACAGTGGTACAATGATTTTCTAATCCTTTGATAATAGTTGAATCTTAAGATGTTAAAGGATACAATACATATCAACTAACTTGCTGTTGATTGAACATAAAACATCAAATATAAATTCAGACCAGTTGACTTGGCTAAAGTAAATAGAAAACAGTCAACATTGAGTACAGTTTATTTAACATGGTTGAACATGTGATCTACAGTCTCAAACAGACTTTTTTTGAATGGGTGTGTATGTGGCTTCCAGTGTTTCTCTAGCCAGCTTCAGGTGGGGTCTCCCCAAGAAAATGTTAAGCACCAAACATTTATTTTCCTGCATTCTCATCCTGATTTTGTCTCGTTTAAAGAAATGGAATAAAGATGTGCGCATGAGAGAGAGAGAGAGAGAGTAAAACCAGATATGCCTTGCTGATGGAAATAATTGATGGACCTCAGCCCCTTGTTTTGTCTCGCAGAATTTATGAAACCTTGCCAACAGTTTGCTAGTCCGTAGCCACGCTTTACAAGTCCATTGTACTGATTAGCAGACATCATTTGATTTTTTTTAACTGAGCCTTCATGGGCTCTGTGCAACACAACAAAACTCCCTCTTTAAAAAGTTGATCTAGCATCTCAGTTATTACAACAGGTGAGCATGATGTGAAGGCCTGTTATCAAGATTCAGCAAAACCAAGAGAGAGCATCATCACATCGGCAGCAAGCAGCTTCACAAACATAATAAAACTAAGTCATGAGAAGCTTCAGTTTTGACATGTCAGGAGGGCTGGACCTCAGGTGCATTAACAGGAGGGAGGAACAAACAGCAGCCCTCTTTTTGTCTCTCTCTCTCGTGCGGACGGCAATTTTATGAATAATTAAAACATATAGTTTTAAAATATAGGCTACTTGGGCAGCTATACATGTACCTGGGCAGCCCGAGTATTGTCTGTGTGGGAAATACTGACGCGAGTGCAGCATAAGTGCAGTTTGTGAAGGAAAAAGGAGCAAGAGAATCGGCATCACGCAGACATGACATTGCAACTATGTGAGAATCGAGACTGGGATTCTTTCTGACCTGAGGGATCTTTTTTTGTTTTGTTGTGCTTCAGTTTGCACATGTCTTGGCTCCAAAAGAAGTCACCAGCACAAAATGTTGGCCGGTATTTTGTCTTCGCTTTTTATACAACAGACCAAAACTCATTGTCCATATTAATATATGCAGTTTGTGGTTTTATGACATTGAAAGGCTGTTTTAATATATGAGCATTAGAATGGAGCAATGAGCAGGGAGGGAATGATTGCATTGAACTTCAGGATACTGTTGCCTTTTCTTTGCTTTTATATGATTTTGATCCCTTTTTTGATGCCAAATTAATGTTGGTGTCTTCAAACTTTTGTATTTTAGTACCAAAAGACAAAAACTTTGAAAATATTTTTTTTTACTTAAGATTTTAAAAAACTGAAAATCCTCACCAGTAAGATGATGGATCTGCATGATGAGTGCATTGTTTTGCTTTAAAAAAGTTGAATGAGAGATCGTTTGTTAAATAGAATCATTTCTGCCTCAAACATTAGCTGTGCTCAGCCTTCAGTCTTCCTTTCAGGTTAAGGTGCTGGTTAAGCTCTACTCTAATTCTGCAAAACATTGTCTCTGGAAATATCTACAAGTTTGTTGGTGAGAGAAAGCCAGCGGACCCCATCGAGGATTGGGAAGTAAGTCTGTGTTCTTGTGTTTCATTACATTTATAACACATGATCTAATCACCTTAACCTAGTTATTGAAAAGGTTGTTGCTGAACAACTGGTAGCCCATCTTAATATTGAAAATCTACTGCACCCTATGCAATTTGGGTTTCGAGCAAACCATTCCACTGAAACGGCATGTTGCTACTTCCTTGAAGTCATTAAAGGTAGCCTTGATAAAGGAGGGGTGGTGGGTGCTGTATTTCTTGACCTGCGCAAGGCTTTCGATACAGTTAATCATTCAGTACACATCTCCAAATTGTCTAAATTTAAACTCTCTGCTAACGTTGTTAATTGGATTCAGTCTTACCTACTTGGTCGCTCCCAGTGCGTACGGATAAATGATAAAATTCATCACTAAAAGCCTGCGTTATGGAGTGCCACAAGGTTCCATCTTAGGACCGTTGTTGTTTAGTGCATACATCAATGATCTCCCATCTGTGTGTGATGATGTGGGACCTTGATGTATGCAGACGACACGGTCCTATATGCATGTGGGAAAGACCCTGAACAAGTAGCTGCCAAACTGTCATTAGCAATGGAACAAGTCATAGAATGGTTACGTTATTCATACGTTACGTTAATACTGACAAAACTGTGGTCATGTATTTTGTAAATAAACACAAAAATATGTTTTTTCCAAATATTATTGTAGGTGGGCAAATGATAAAAAGGTCGATGAGTTGGGTTGATACTTGATACTTGGGTGTTACACTAGACCACAACCTTACTTTTAAAAGTCATATTAAAAAGATGTGCCATAAAGTTAAATATAACATAGCCAACTTTAGACATATCAGGAACTCACTTACAGTCGAAGCGTCTAAAATGTATTTGAATGCTATGATTTTTCTTACTTTCATTACTGTATATCATGTTGGTCCCAAGCAAACAAGACTGTCTTAAAACCCATAAGGTCACTTCATAAACAAGCCCTTAAAACTCTGGACAGGAAACCACAACAGTATCATCATTGTGATATTCTTGATAAATATAAAATTCTGAGCTTTTGACCATTTCATTTTTTATACCGATGTCCGCTTAGTGTACAAAATAATCCATGATGCTGCTCCCCCACCATTGAAAAGCTTTGTGAAACTTCGCTCTGAGCTGATAAGCAGA